TTCCCCTTCCCAGGACCTTGAAGGAAGGTTTGGGAGGGCACAACCTAGACGCTGAGACCTTGGTGACCGTCCTGTTCGAGGAGCTGAAGGCCTACAAGGCGGTGAGAGGCGACACGGGGCAGGAACGCTACAACGTCCTCTGCGACCTGCTGGAAAAAAAAGGTCGCCTCTACGAGCGAGCCGTCGCCTTGACGGAGCTGGCGCAGGTCTTGTGCTACCACAGCTACGCCCAGCAGACTGACTGGTGGGTACGGTCCCTCGTGCCCCCGAAAAGAACATTTGGAGATTTGAGGATCTGGAGTTATTTTTGATCCCTTTCTCCAGCAGCTCCTCCTTGGACTCGGTCCGTGAGGCCTTGCGGCTGCTGGAGCTGGTACCCGAGAGCGCTGAGAACCGGGACCGGCTCCTCGACGAGCGGGCGCAGGCTCTGCTCTGGTTCTACATCTGCACCCTGGAGGCCCAACTGGAGAAGGTGGGTGGGTGGTGGAGCTTGTGGGGTGCTGAAGCAGGTCCAGTTTTGGGAACGCTGTTTTGGCAACGCTCTGCCACTGGAATTCCACCACTGGTGTCTCTTAATTTGCGTTGCTGTTGCCTCCTCCTCCCTTGCTGCAGAGCATAGAGAGGGACCAGAGAGCCAAAGCTCAGGGGTCAAAGAACCTGGATGACTGTGAGCCCAACGACCTCAACTACGAAGGCCGAATGCTGGAGGACAGGTTCCTCTACGATGGCATCTCCTTTAACCTGGCCACGGAGACTGGTGAGGCCTCTGGGTGGGGTTTTGAGCCCTTTGTGAAGATGGTTTTTTCCGGGTTGGGATGTCTCAGCCCCCTGGCGGTTTTCCTTCAGCTCTCTCCAAACACCTGGATGACGCCTTCGCCTCGTGGAAGCAGCTCCTGGTGACGCCGGGCATCCCGGCTGTCCGCAGCCCAGAGCAGACTGTAACATCCTTGAACCTCCTGGCAGCTCTCTACAAGCTGATGGCCAAGGTAACGCCAGTGGGCAGGTGACAAGGGGGGATGAGAACTACTGAAAGTCCCTCTCGGGTGGTCTCTGAGGTAACCATGTGGGTTTTTTTGCCCTCTAACAGCCCTTGCAAGCCATCGAGAGCTACCTCCTGGTGAAATCCTTGTGCGACGCGCTTGGGGACAGCCTGGCCGCGGCCGGTGCCCTGTGCCAGGTCACCAAGCTGCTCTTCCAGCTGGAGTGTCCCAGCTACGCCCAGGTCAGCGCAACAGGGAGGGAAGGGGCCACAGGGTGAGCTTGGTTGATCCCCGAGCTCGCGACCCTCATATCAGCACCTCGGTTTTCCAGCTTTTCCTGGAGGAGGTGGAGTCCCGCCTGCAGAAGATCGCTGGCAGCAATGATTCCTCCCTGCTGCTGCAGCAAACCTGCCTCCTGCTCCGCAGCCAGCTGTGCTGCGTTGACCGCCGGGTGAGGCTCCTAAATAAAAACTCACACCAAAAAAAGCCCTTTTCTGCCTCAGAAGTAGCACTGGAGGGTGAGAGGAGACGGTGGCAGCTCCGTTTGGCCGTCTCGATACCTCTCGTTGGGCGTGGAGGCCGTGATGTGACGCTTTTTTGTCCCTCTGCAGATCGACGAGGGTCTTGCCCTGTTGCTGGAGGTGCTCCAGAACCCGGCTCTGCAAAAAAACATGAAGGCTTGGTACCTGCTGCGAGCCCACGTCCTGTGGCTGGTGGCCGTTTACCTGAGCCTTCCCCCCACCAGCCTCTCTCTGGAGCTCCGGCAGCGAATCTTTGTGCAAGGTGAGCTGTCGGGGGATGTTTAAGACCCCTCCCCAAGTCCTGTGAGCACCAATCTTCATGTCAACATCTCACCTGTGGGTTTTTCTCCAGCCTATTTGGGATGAGGAAGAGGGAATCGTGAGGATTTGGGTTGGGGAAGGGACTTGGTTGACGCTGGCAATCGCTCTCGCGCAGGGTGGAAGACGCCAAAGACGGCTCTCATGGAAGCCCAGAAGCTTTTCCGCGGCATCATCATCCTCCTGCTGGGCAACGAGCTGCTGGGCTCGCAGGCAACGGCGTCCGACGTCCAGTTCGTGGCTTATGGTGAGCAGCACGGCCCCGAAATTCGAGCGCTCCTCCGGGAAGAGCCCCGGGGTTCCTCGCCTCCCTCTCCGCAAGGCGAAGCTCTCCAGGTCACCTTCCTCATCCTCCCTCGCAGGGGACAACCTGCTGCTGAAGTGGCAAGTGCTGGCCGACCTGCTGGCCTGCTCGGAGCAGCTCGTGGCTCTCCTGGGCCGGCTGGAGGTGGTGTGTAACGCCAAAGCCTTCTGCCTCGAGGCCCTCAAACTCGCCATGAAACTGCAAACCACCCGCTGGTGAGTTCGGCAGGGGGCCTGTCCTCAAAATTGGGGGACACTCAGTTAGGGAGGAGCTGTCACAAAGCTGGGGGACACGCATTGGTGCCCGTGTTCTGTGGCCAGAGGGGCTGGCTCTGATTTGAGGAGGGTTTGGCACTGCCTTGGGGTGCGTCACCCCTCAAATTGAACTCCCTGGGTCAGGTGGGTGCTTGTTTCCTCGCTTGCCCTCCTGCCTCCCTCCCTGGCACAGTCCTGGGATGTTGTCGGGAGGGCTCTGAGGATGGTTTTACTTGTCTACACTGCTGGGACGAGTCTAGAGGAGGCCACAAAGATGATCCAGGGGCTGGAGCACCTCTGCTGCGAGCACAGGCTGAAGGAGCTGAGGTTGTTCAGCCTGGGGAAGAGAAGATGCCGGGGTGAACCTTATCCCTGCCTGCAGTGCCTGAAGGGACCTGCCCGAAGGCTGGGGAGGTACTTTACAAGAGTGTCCAGTGACAGGACAAGGGGAAATGGATTTAAATCGAAGGAGAACAGGTTTAGATTGGATCTTAGGAAGAAATTCTTCAGTGTGAGAGTGGCAAGACTCTGGAATAAATTGCCCAGAGAGGTTGTGGCTGCCCCCTCCCTGGAGATGTTCAAGCCAGGTTGGATGAACCTGGAGCAACCTGGGCTGGTTTAAGGGCATCGCTGCCTGTGGTGGGGGGATTGGGTTAAATGATCTCTGAGGTCCCTTCCAACCTAAGACAGGTTCTGATTCTTCACCCCTCCTCAAGGTGCACGTCCTTCCTGGTGCTGAAAGCTCAGCTGGAGCTACAGCAGGATGAGCTGGAGCAGAGTCACTCCGACCTCCGGCAGGCCCTTTTCCTCCTGGAGTCTGACACCGGTGAGTCCCCCTGAGGAAAATGGGATCCCCAGTGCCGGGGAACCCCTCTTCTCACTCTCACTTTTGGGCTTGGGGTGGAAGATCTGGATGAAGCAACCGGTCCCTGGCTCCCGGGAGGGTGTGGAGGTGACTCTGAGCCACGTTTTTGG